AGTTTCAAAACGTCGCCGCACTTATAAGCTGCCCCAAACGGGCCCTAAGATTCCGTTTGGTGCAGTATATAATTGTGACACGTGTTTTGAAAATGTCGGCCCAACGTTTGTTTCCTGCATTGGTGCTGCGAATCTGAAAAACGAAGGTTCTTTCATATGCGTTTCTCGTTTATTTCCACCTGTGTTGTCGGTCTTCTCCCTCGCCTCTCCATTTTGATCGATGCTTTCAGACCCCCACATGCTGATCAAAGCTTCTCAGATCGAGAAGCGTGGTGGAAATTCGCTGCCAAGGACTTGTGCTCGAGCTAGATGAGGAGTCGAAGCCATTGATCTACTATTGCTGCCTAGCGTCGAGGTCTGGCTACGCAGTGAGCTTAGTGTTTGGAGCATGGTGCCCCTGTGGCGGAACAACAAAAGCACCGATTCTTCCGTTAGAATGGCAAGGATGCAAAAAATACTGTGCATTTGGGCAGAGAGGAGAAGGTTGCTTGACTTTATGATCTTATGTAATCAGGTTTAGTTTTATTAATTGTTCAATTACTTTTTATTAAATTCTTTTGATATTTTATTTTTTTCCTTTTAATGGGTACTGCTTGGATATACTTTGAATGTCCAATTTTTTCTGTGGTGTATTGTTGAATCTACTATCTGTCAAGACAGTTCTGTTACAAACAACATTACCTAACAAGAGAAGAATGATTATTTTTACACAAAACAACTGCTCGAAACAAACAATCAGTTTATTCGTATAAGGTATAGATCAACATCTTATCAGGATAAATCGTTTATCTGAATAATTTGAATAAGCCGCAGCCGCCCCCAAACAAACCCTAAATATCTGTTCTTTGTGCCGCTCCATTTCACTTTCCAAACAATCAGTTTATTGGTATAAGCTATAGATCAACAACTTATGAGGATAAATCGTTCATCAGAATAATTTGAATAAACTGCCGCTCCATATCTCTTTCCCAACAATTAAAAAGAAAAATTTAGATTGGTTCGATGAAATTTAAATCCCATCCAGCCAACCAACCGAATGCTCAGCCCTAGCCCTGCGTTGTGCATTGGCGCGGCTCCAGTCGCGAAGCTGACACCAGCAATGATGGCGGCCGCGACGACGGTGTTATGCTACTCTCGACTCCTCGTCTCTCCGCCGTTCGCTCCAACTCTTCTTCTCTCTAGCCGTCCTCCTCCTCCTCTTATGTTTTACTCCACGCCGTCGTCTAGAGTTTTTCACTGCCACCGGAACTCCGTGCCCCCTTGCTTGATCACGCGAGTTGACGAGTGCATCACTGAGGGCTTCTGGGAAGAACCCGAAGACGGATTTGGAAGCGCAGGAGATGAATCCGAGGATGAGGAGATTGGTAAGGAACAAAAGGAGACTTCGTGCAGTGGTGGTAGCAATGCCGACCATTTCAAATCCGACTACGACCGGCTCGTTAAAGGTTCCATTCTTCATACTTTTGTGGATTATTTTATTTCCATTGAAATGTGAATTGGAAAAATGGATCTTTCCTCTGTGTTTTTTATTGAAACTTGAAATTTTTCGCCTGGTGTAGTTTCCTTTAATGATAAAATTCGGTCATTAAAATTCTGTTCTTCACAGTCATTCCCACTTGGAACCAATAAATGTTCTATGTTTGCCACATTACTGATGTATATTTGTAACTCCATGAATAGATGTTATAGAGTTTGCCACATTACTGATTTGTGACATTTCTGTGATGAATATAAGCTGCTGTGTATAGTATTTTCAATCATAAATACTTGAGTATTAATAGGATATTGTTTACATCAGTAATCTTATATGTTCATGTTCTCCCACATTACTAAAAGCGCAAGTTTCGATTTCTCTCATAATTTATTGATGTACTGCCGTTTCTCAAATAGTTACAACGGTGCAAGACCAGAAATTTTGATTATGTATCTGTTCTGGAAATATTTTAGGCGCATTTACATACATACCACCCAATTTTTATGTCCGTACATATCTAAAGCTTAACTTTTGTTTTTACAATTTTACCACCCAAATCTTAAATATCACATAACAAATACCATTATTTTAAACTTTAAAAAGTGAACACATTTTCATGCGTGGATAAGGTGCTATTTATGTAAAAAATGAAGTTTAGGTGATAGATATGTAAATACATAAGAATTGAATGTTATGCATGTTAATCGTGCATATTTTTTTGAGACAACATAAGCAAGTTTGCAAATGCAGGATGCTACTGGCACAGTAATAGTTCTATAAAGTTTGAACATACCTCAGAAACTACTTGGCAGTTTTTTTCTTTTTTCGCTCTTTCTTCTTGTGCATGCTCTATTAGATAAATTGTTTTGATTTTGGTTCTTTAGAGGTGGAGCAGCTGCTGGAGCCAGAAGAAAGAGACATTTTGCAGCAGAACGAAGTCCCTGATATTAGCAAAATCTCAACTGTTAAGTATTTTTAGCCAATGAATTTGTATTAATTTTATTCTGATGCTTTACTGAATGATTTACACAGGCTGAACTTGATTGCTTAAAATTTTATAATGAAAAATGATAGCAAAATATTATATATATATATATATATATATATATATATATATAGTTGGGGCATTTACATGCATGCATATGGCCAAATTCTTATGTATTTACATATCAACCACCTCTACTTTAATTTTTATATCTATACCACCCAAACCTTTCATATCACATAAAAAATACCACTATTTTAATTTTTTAAAAACTTAAGCACACAATTTCATGCTTAGTTAAAGTGGAATTTATGTAAAAATTGAATTTTCGGTGTTAGATATGGTAACGCATAAGAATTAAGTGGTATGCATTTGAATCTTCCTATATTTTTTTATAAAAACCTTAATAAATAAATCTAGTCGGAGTGGTTCCTTAATATCATAAACTTTAATTCTTCTAACTCTTAAATTTTCTACCTAGTGCAGAAGAAATGGAACCTATTTCATTCACTAGGATTGTCGCTTCAGATACATTTGATGGACAAACTTCTCGAACTCGGTTGGGATATTGATTCTGCTGATAAGGTTTGTCCTTTGACCTTTAGTTAATCCTCTGACTGATTATTATAAGTTTTTATTTTAAGAAAGACTGAACTGTATGTAGGTTTGTTGTACAGGATGGCTATACTGCTCTTCACAAGACAGTGATGGGAAAAAAGGAGGCTGTTATCAGCCATCTTTTAAGAAAAGGTGCAAATCCTCTTATTAGGGACCGGGTAATGATTTAAGAATCTTAATTTTGAAAAAAGCTTAATAAATACATTGTTTTAAATGTTATAATAATATGCTTATCTATTTCCATTTTTTGATCAGAATGGTGCCACTGCTTTGCATTATGCAGTTCAAGCTGGTGCTATGCAAACTGTGAAGTTGCTGATCAAGCACAAGGTGGATGTCAATGTTGCTGATAATGTGGGTTGCCCAATATTTAATTATTTTTTATTTATGTAGGAATTTGATGCATGTTAAAACATAATCATAAGGAATTGATGATTACAGGATGGCTGGACACCGCTCCATATTTCTATGCAGAGTAGATCCAGGGATATTGCAAAAGTTTTATTAGTTAATGGTGCTGATAAATCAAGAAGAAACAAGGTATTATTTGCAGTATTTACTTTTTTATCCATGACATTTACTTATTTTATTTATTTTTATTGATGAAGATTGGCAAATCTTGATTTAGAGGCAAATAAATCATGACTTGTAATTTGTTCTAGTTTATATTTTTTGAAAAGGACGAGGGATTTGACTATACTGGTGAAAGCTTCATGGTTTGCACTTTTTGGATGGTTAAATCACACTATTTGTGTTCATTTTAGTTTTCTAATAACTATTAGTATGCTATATTTGCTTATTAAAAAGTTTTGCTCATGATATGGTTTAAACCTTATTTTGATCAGCTCCTTTCACGCCGCTCGGTCGCCAGCTTATTAAATTGTCTGGAGCCCTATTCATAGTGGGTGAACTAAATGCTCATTGTGGGTTCAAATTTATGAAAAAAATTTATTGAAATTGAAAGAAAGGATTATATTCTTTCCAGGTTTTGATTGTGAAGATTTCAGTATTATTAACTTGCCAACATCATGGCCTCTTTTAGTCCTATAGTGTAGTTGGTCATGCATTATTACCATGGATATTACAGTCAACACCACATTTTGTTCGTTACCAAAAGTCAATAAACATTTATCATATCACCAATCAAACTTCATATCACAATCATGTATCGGCGGCTTTGAATATTTTTTCTATTTTGTTTGGTTTTCTATCAAAATTTTAAATTTAAAGTTATTATTAAATATGTTTTAATTATCTTGAAATTTGACCTTATTTAGCTCCTTAGTTAAAGATATTATTTTTTTTATTCTTGTAAAAATTTATTAAAGAGTACATTAGATCTTAACGATGTCGTAATTATTTGTGAAAAGACCCGAATTCAACGATAAATTTAACCAACAAATTCTCTCACAAAACTTCCCCTCTTTTTTATCCCCATCGTCGACATTGTTAACATTGCCAACCAGTAGACATTAGATACCATACCAACCATGTACTTTAACAACATTGTAGAAATTATAGCAAACGATATACATACCATAGAACATGTCTAGTGTTTATTCAAGCACTTATAAGGGAGAAACAATAAACTATAGTGTTATTTTAAAGCTATCAAGTTCTCCACCCACATTTTTGTATGATGTATAGTGGAGGAAAACATCAAAGAGGTAAATCTTTCTACAACAAGAAAACTCAATTCAGAGATTGGTCTACTCATCAAATTTATATCATGATTTTATGGTGATTAGGGGTTGTTCAAGCAAACTCATATGCTGAGAATTCTACCTAATGCATAATGTTGAGGGTTCATAGAAAAAGTAGTGCGATATGAGGCGAGACTCCGGATAATCTATGCAGGAATAAACCACAAATAAATATTTTAAATATCAAATAATTAATGTACTCGGAACAATTTTTTTTAAATAAAATTGTTTATATTTAATCGATGATCTCAACCAGACCACCAGAGTGAAATCCTCACTTGAATGGATCATATTTGTTGAATTCTAATGGTCTTCTTTTTTTGTGGAGACTGTTGACTAGTGATTTTCATGACATTATTGAGATCAAAGGTGGTGTTAGCAAGGATCCATAGACAATCAGATCATCAATCGCACTTCATATAAAGGGTGATCACACCTTGAAAAATAGACAATCATATCAAATTTAAATCGCATCAGAATAAAGATGATCTTAAATTTCCAAGTTTATTTCAGATAAATCTAGATTTGAAGTTTAAACTATAGATTGAGATATTTGATAATTATCATTAAATTTGAACTTGCCTAATTTATTATTTATTGACAAGATTTTTTCCCCTTGTGGAGTTTGTTTTTGATGGATTAGATTCTATCTTTGTTATAATCATAGGCAGTGTTTGGCCGCAACTTGAATTTATGTTCAACTGGATGATCAAATCCAGTGAAATCGGATTTATCTAACCTTCTGTGGACCTCGCGAGCGACGATGCGTGACATCCCGTAAATTCGCCTCGCAGTGGGATTTAATAAATCCGGATTTGCGCTGTAAAATAAACAGAACAAGGAGAATTCGACAGAACGCGGAAGATTTTGAATTAATGGAGCGTTGAATTAAATTTTTGCTTTTTTTTTAATGTTTGGCGGGATTTAAGTTAAATCCATGGCTAAATCCAGTTACTACTAAACACCCCCTTACTTTACAAGGTTGAATTCTGCAGTGATGCTCTACAGCGCCGTTTTAAAGCCATACAATCCTCAAACAAAGCATTGTTTATGTTTTTCACTGTAGAAAAAAAATGCCTTAAACAAATTTATCTACAGCAAGGGAACTCAATTAAGATATAGGCGTATGCATCAACACCCCATCAAAAAGATCTGATTTTTATTCTATTTTATCTTCCAATATTGATTAATTTTTTAGTTTCATTGTGCATTTATCATAAATTATTAGAACTTTCTTTGGAAAAATTTTGTAGGATGGAATGACACCTCTCGATCTCAGCTTGTGCTATGGGAGGGACTTCAAGTCTTATGATCTGGCAAAGCTACTCAAACTTGTTCCTGCAGACAGAGATTTTTGAAAAGAGTTTGTGTATTTTTTCACTGCACTCTTGCGGCGAGATAAATCAAATTGTGTAAATTTATGTTTAGTTTCTGTTTTCTCATCTAACATAATTTTTGTGTAAAATTTATGTTCCTTTTAACAGTTTGAAAGTAAATAGGATTTGTTTATGGAAATATGTTTCATATTATTTTTTGAAGTCATTTCACTGTTTTATTTTATGTAATTTAGGCATTGAAGAGACGAGTTACGATAAAATGGTATATTTTCATTTGGACTGGCCATGTTGAGAAATGTAAACATTAGAATTAAAGAAAACACAACTTTTGAAGTTCTTGAAACAACTGTAGGACTTGAGTTAGTTGTCATATCTTAAAACTTTTTGAATCTTCATCTACTGGATCTAATTACTGATTCTTAAACTGACACAGGAAATAGAAAAAAATCTTTGCACTGTATTTGCGACAGAAGTGCTTTGTGCAAGTGAAGAAGGAAGAGTAATGCTTGAGATTCCAAATCAGGCATTCTCACTGCTATAGGAGGTTAGGCAGATAGGAGAGCTAAGATTAGAAGCTGTTAGGGAGAACTCTGATTTTAGATGATTTGAAATAGAAAAGATCAGATTGTAGAATCTCGAAGTCTCTTCCCGAGTCCTTGGCAAACCATACTCTTTCATTCTAGGGAGCTCTAAGAAGCAAGGCCTCAGTGAGATGAGCATAGGTTAGGTCAGCTATCAACAAAGTTAGGAGGCTGGAAAGAGTCAATACGGCTAACTTTCTTTTAGTGCGTTCTGATCTTTAAATTGTCTACCAACATCGTCGACATCCTAGGAGTGATTGCCCGACAGTCATATGACCTAACTGGTATCAAACTGAGTAGATTTCTTTCATAAATCACCCATTTCATTTTTACTCGACAATCATAAGACCTGACTGGTATCAAAAGATGTACCAGGAGAAGAAATGTAACTGAACGTCGTGTCAAGCACTTACTTAGGCCCCATCTACATTCTGCATCTCAAGTATGGATCATCTAATACATTTCCAGTAGCAATGTATTGCAGTTGTACTGAAAGTTTCATCCCCAATCTAATTACAAAGTTATTAGCATCATATATTGCCAACCAATCACGTCATCGAATCTCTAAACTCCCATCCTCTATCAGAACTCCCATATACTCATCTCCATAAAACATGTCCGCCCGTATAAACCAAGTCTAACTCTTATGCATAGTCAAACCCCACTCCACGGTTTTGAAGCAACCTTCTAGAGCTAAACTAATAGATATGTAGAGCTAACCACTAACATGGGGATACCTACAGGTATGATTACATTTCAATGGCAAGGGAGGCGCTTAGCGAATTACGCTATGGGACAACAGCAAAGCGGAAGAATAGCTAATAACACCTTAAGCCGCTTCCATGGACTGAATAGGTCAGCGGAGTTTGAATTTGAGATATGAAGAGGAAGCACATTGTTTCGGTGCTTCACACCTACTTCGCCCAACAGTGGGAACAAAATTATTTTTATCATTACTCATCTTTACAAATAATTTGGGTAGCAGAGGGCTAAGTATAATGAATTTTCCTTTTAGCATATCTTTTAAATATAAATAATTTGGGTAGCAGAGGGCTAAGTATAATGAACATGTTATAACAATATTATAATTTATAATTCTTTTGATATGCAATATAATTCGCCTGCCATTATTCTATAGAATCAAAATTGGCAAAAGACTAATGCGGCCTGTCAAGAAGGAGCATGCTATAACATAAATGATCATGCTTTTTTCTTTCATGAAACTTGAGATTTAATTCACTTGACATGCATAAGCTAAGATTACTATAATTTTTAATTGCAGCATTTAAATAGATCAAACACAATTCTAATGTATTTGCATCTCCAACGCCTAATTTTTTTTGTATTTATATGTATAATACTGAGAATTTTAATATTACATTAAAAATATCACAATTATTAATTTTAAAATTGAGATGTGTCTTTTCATTTATAAATTTATGACATCAAAATATTATATATATAAACATCAAATTTCCGCAACTAGAAAACTGTCACCGCACCTAACACTAGTGGGAAAACATAAATTTCAACAGCAAACTTTTGAAAAAACTGTCAAAACGCAGTTTACCTAAACAAACAAAACTACAGCGTGATGTCGCACTACCGCCCCAAACAGACCTTTAATTTGAAAAATTTGACTAACTTGGTATTCTGACTTACCATAAATTTTAATGGCCCAACAATGGATACAGTTCTTTAATAATATTTTTGCGAGGGAATAGCTCTCCATTGCAAGGGTTTATACGATTCATACAACGTAAAAATTCAACCATTTAAAAACATTTGAACCAAATAAAGAAATTGAGAAATGATATCACACAGACCAATTCAATCCAGCCCGAGCGAGTTCAACTGATTCATCCCCCAAAAAACAAATATCTTAATGCTAAAGCTAAAATATATACAGAAATGACAGAAGACTGCATATAATAAAACAAAACATTTACAAGTTCCTTTCATGAGGTTCCAGCCAAGGAAATCCAAGCAATTCAAACACCTCCTTCTCAGTATTGCAGCTCACACTTGTGCTGGATCTCATCCCCTGAAAGCCAGAACCAAGTTTATGGTAACTAAAAAAAATGCAGAAAGTCATCATGAAAAAAAGCAGAAGAGGCATTTACGTAGATGCCACCCAATTCTTATGTATTTACATACCTAACACCTAAACTTTTTACATTCATACCACCCAAACATCTCATATTACATAAAAATTATCATCACTTTAACGTTTAAAAAGTGAAATAAACTTATTTCATGCATGGCTAAGGTGGTATGTATGCAAAAAGTTAAGTGTAGGTGCTAGATATGTCAAGTATATAGGATTTGAGTGGTATGTATGAGAATCTTCCAAATAAGAGATGAGAAGTGTCAGGTCTTGAAGAATTACTTGCTTTCCAGACATGGATCGAGTAGCTAAGAACAGCCCGGTATCATCAAGCCTATATCCTTTGGATTCAGCCAGTAACCTCAACCTGTAGTAAATTTACGAGGACTCTTTGCAGTGAATCCAATTTAGCTTCAGAGAAATGAGGTTATTATGGAATTTGGCCGAGGAAATCAAGCAAAAAAAATTAAGCTTGGGCTAGCCTAATTCATAAGGGCTAAGACAGTTACATGGAACCTTGATAAGTCATGCCTAAGACAAATTAATGCACAAAATTCAATTGGGTCTAATTGTAAGCTCATTTTTTTCACAATTTCCCTCCAATAGCCTCATATAGGGGGCCACTGAGCTACCATCGAACAATGGTAGATTTGGTCAGAACATAGGTGGGCTGTGTCACTTCACTATGTTAGGCTTCTATTAGGAATATGATAAAAAATTACACAAATAATTACAATACAACAACAACAACAACAACAACAACAAACCTTTATCCCACTAAGCGGGGTCGGCTACATGAATCATTTTTCTCAATTGCGTCCTATTGAGTGTCATATTTTCATTTAATTCTAATAAATTAAGATCATTTTTATACAATATGTCCAAGTTTTTCAAGGTCTACCCCTGTCTTTCTTAACATAAGTCGAATCTAGAACATCTACTCTCCTAATCTGATCATCAGATGGTCGACGTTTAACATGATCAAATCATCTAAGTTGACTCTCTCTAATTTTGTCTGCCACTAGAGCTACACCAACCCTATCATGGATATATTTGTTTCGCATTTTGTCTCAAAAGTATAAAGCCACTCATCCACCCAAGCATTCTCATCTCGGTAATACTTAACTTAGTTTTATGCTTCTTCCTTAAAGGCCAACATTTCAGCGCCATAGAGCATTGTAGGTCTCACCGCCCTCTTAAAAAATTTTCCTTTCAGTCTTAGCGGTACTTTTCTATCACACAAAAGGCTTGAAGCATTCCTACACTTCAACCAACCAACTTGAAGGGATACAAGATCACTAAGGTCGTTCGTACAAATATACATCGACAAAACATTTGGTCATTCCCCTTTGATGGGTAGTACAGATAAGTTCACCAGAGATTCATTAGTTGAGAGAGAAAATATGAAAAATCAAATAGTTTTTGCATACATATTTTAGAATCAATAGTATTATGATAGTTTTATGTTATTACTTCAAAGTTGTTATTATGTAGGGATACACAAAATAGCAGATTTTTCATTAAAAGATTTCTTCTAGAAATAAAACCATCTTTAATCAAGTTCTAACATCCCAAATGTAGAATTATTCTATGTGTAGTCCCACTTTAGACTCAGTATTGCATCATCTTATAACAAAATGCTAAAAAACACAACGTTGTTAATTATTAAGGTAATAAAATGAAAAAAACATGATGACAACTTGTCAACCCAGGCATGTTATAACTCTTAAAAGTCCAAGGAAAGATGATATTATGACTATTTGCAATTAATCACATGCAAACAAAGAGCAAAAATGACAATTGATTACTAATGTGGCACCATACCTTCTATTTAGCACATCATTGCCCGTCCATGCTATCAGTCCAAAAGCATATATGCTCTTTGGATATACCTGCAAATTGTTACTTTATACTCTTATATAGTTCGAGCTACAAATATTTAGAAAGTCAATTGAAAAAAGAAAACCAACAACGGATAAAAATATCATATTATCAAACAAGGATCATCCGTACATCTATAAGTTGTCTTTTTCTTAGGTTTTCAACTCTCTTAAAGTTCAAAGCTTCACAGCTGAATTATGGAGCTTAAAATATGCACAAATGGCACTAAATTAAGTATTCACAAAATAAAATGGGGCCAGAAGCTTTTTCCATTTAGCCTCTATTTAAGAGAGGCTGCAAATCTTTAACATTTCTAGCAACATGTTTATCAATTATCCTTTAAAAGACCTCAAATTAACATCTCAAGCAACATGCAAATCAGAGGCTTACTTAGCGCATGGGGACAACTACAACAGTTGTAAAAGACCTCAATTTTGGAATTGCAAAGACTAATGACTTGAATATGGGACTCTAGAATATGATAAGATCAACTAAACATTGTTCCAGATCCTAGCAATTATGTTATAAAAGTTATAAATTTGACTAACAGAGGATTTGACTCTTCATAAGAAGGGTATAACTATGATGTTCTCATCATATTTTCTTCTTCTTGCCCAATTAGATTTTAAAATTTACTCAAATATAGAATTGAACCGGCCTAACAAGGGGATTTATGAGAGGATATTAACAGTGATACTATTTTTCATGTACCTCTTAAAATATCACAGTTGTTGAGAATGTCGCTATGGCTATATCATTAGTCACTCTATGGATGCACAAGTATTTCGTTAATGAAAGACTTTGCTTTGACATGGTTGGTTCAGTCAATGTTTGAAATCCAAAAGGACTTTGATTTGGGAACTTATCATGTATAAATATAAGCATCATTTCAAATCATTCATGCCATTTAAAATTTATTGATGAGTTCAAAGTTAACTTTGGTTTGGATGAGAAAATTTTTATGATTCGCTTTCAATAGATATACATATACATATACATATACATATACATATACATATACATATACATATACATATACATATACATATACATATACATATACATATACATATACATATACATATACATATACATATACATATACATATACATATACATATACATATACATATACATATACATATACATATACATATACATATACATATACATATACATATACATATACATATACATATACATATACATATACATATACATATACATAGTATGTATATATATATATATACATATCTATATATATATATATATATATGTATGTATATATATATATATATGTATATATACATATCTATATATATAGATAGATATATATATATGTATAAGACCCCTTAGGTCAAAAGTTTGAATCCCTCCTGGCACAGTTGGCCTTAAGGAGGTGGTGCTCGAATTGTCCAGCTCGTATAATAACCTCTAATCATTTATATATATAAATGATTAGAGACTATTATACGAGCCTCCAGCTATCCCTAATGTGCCTAATAATTCGAGTATATATATATTGTTGAAATTCAGAATAATGTGGAATCAAGCGGAATACAGAATGGTTTCATTGATATGAAATAAATAACCCTTACAAGAATCCAAGAATAGGAAAGATAATAAAAAGAACTAAAATGAAAAGGAAAGTAAATAGGAAAGCCTAAAATAGGAAAGTAAATAACTCTTAATATAAGGAAGTAAATATATAATAAGAAAAAAAATAACTCCTTAATCCAAGGGAATAATGTATTCCTCATAATTTCTCACAGGAATAAATTATTTCATAGTTTAACTCCTAACATTTCCCCTAGAGTTTAAATATGGTTAAAAACCATGTTCAACTTGGATTTGAAAACTCCAAACAATGGGCGAAGAAAATCCTCAGAGGTAGAACTTAACGCCTTTATCCCATACAACGATTGTCTACACGTAATGTTGCAGGGGAGTTTGCAGGGAAATAGACAACAGCGGATAGACAGAAATCTCCTACAGGTAATGTTGCAGGGGAGTTTGTAGGGAAGAAGATAGCTGTGACTGTCATTGACTGCAGTTCATGTAGTGTCTGTAGGTAGACGAAAGACTCCTACAAGTGATGCTGCAGGGGAGTTTGTAAAGAAGTAGACAACCAAAATAAAAAAAAAACTGCAGGGTATGGCCTGAAGAAAAAAGCTCAGGAGGTAGGCTTCGCTGCAAGAAAACGCTCCAAATGAGGATATGCTCCAGGAATAATTCAGGTGGAGGAGCTACTGCAGTGAAAGCTCCGAAGTAGGGCTTGATACAAGAAAAAGTTTTGGATGAGGGCTTGATGCGAGAAAGGGCTCCGAAAGAGGGCATGAGGCAAGAAGAATTCTAGTGAAGGGTCTGCTGCAGAAAAAACTCTGGAGGCAGGTCTGGTGCAAGAAAGATTTCGGACGAGGGCCTTATGTACGAAAAGGCTCTGGAGGAGGGCTTGTTGCAGGAAGAATTCCAGTGGAGGATCTGATGCAGGAAAAACTCCGGAAGAGGGTCTAATGCAGGAAAAAAGCTCCGAAGGAAAACCTGTAGAAAATCAGAGAAGTAGGACTGTTGAAAAATTGGAAGCCGGACTGCTCGAAATCAGAGAAGCCGAACTGCAGGAAACTAGGAAGCCGAACTGTTCAAAATATGGACAACCAGAGTAAATCAGGGAAGTAGAGCTGCTGCAGGGAACAAACGCAAAAAAAAAACAACAGGAAGAACCTCCAGTGAAAGTTGAACCTCAATTAAGTAGGAATGCATTGCAAGTAATTAATAATTGAAATTTAATGAATGAAAATTATTTGTGAGAAAAATTGAGCATTTTCTCTATTGATCCAAGTTTCATATAAATATTGCTCCAAGTTTGCATAGGATGTTTGCCTCTTCCTCCATTAATTTAGTATTGATGCATTACAATTCAACTAACTAGAAAAAAATCATACTTCAAAAGGTATTATAGGAAAAGTAGTTGAACCAAGGAACAAAAGGAAATATTTATTTATTTTCAACCCATTTTTTCTTATTTTTTGCCGAAATTTTCATTTCTTTATTAAATTAATTATATTGTATTTAATTATCACTCTAAGATAATATTAATTTTAACTTTAAATGTTATTACACATATGTATAGTCGATTCAAATCTTCTTATTGAGCATGTGAGCTATTGATGGTAAACCAATTAATTCCAAATCCACCACTTTTTCCTAACCATGACTTGTGAAAAAACAAATCATAACCAAATCATAATTTTTTGCAATATGCCCATCATACCAACATAAAATTAATTCATGAATTGCTGACATAATCTGTGCAATTTATGCATGGTGGCAGCATGGATATGCTTCTGAGCAAAACTCTCAAAAGCAATAATGTGTGCTATATCTCTTCCTTATGCATGCTACAAGAGTCACAGTGTTTCTTAAATGAGCTCCAAAAGCTCCATAAACATACCTTAAAATCAATGCGATGTCGTTGTTCTCGTCCAGGATATGTGCAAAGACCAAAGTAAGTATCAACCCCTGAATCGGTTCCCTGTGCATTAGATGAAACAAAATGATAAGTAATTCAATATTTTATAATAATAAAATTCTGGATAAATGATATATGTTGTAGACTATGATGATTGAATTATTAAATCATCATTTACACTTCTTAATTGTTTTGCATCTAACAAGCCATCCTAAGAAAGCTCCATCATAACAACTTGGCCCTAACCCTACTTATGGTTTCATCAAATTATAATATAACATGTAGATAAATTTACAAAAAAAAAAATAATAATAAAATAAAATAAAAATAGAATGACAAATGTCAGTTCAAATGAACCAATTATTTGTCAATGAGAGAGAGAGCGAGAGTGTGTGTGTGAGTGTGAGAGTGCTAGAAGTAATTGAGCCAAGAGGAAGGAGTGACTGAGCAACTGCGCAAATGATGAGAAGACTAGATTTCTTATTTTGAATAAAGGAGTGACTGAGCAACTGCGCAAATGATGAGAAGTAAGACTAGATTTCTTATTTTGAATGAAATTTTGTTTAAGATTTTATTTTTTATAATTTAATAAAAAGAACAAAACATAGATTTTATTTTGATTAACAAAAACAGCTTACTAGATGTTTTAAGACTCATCTTACACAAAGTATAAAGTTTAGGTATAATAGAGGCATAGATTATGATTGAAATTAGTGAAGGATAAATAGGGATGATTGGTCAGTTTGATTAAAGTTATTCATATTAAAAATAAATTTTATGTTAATTGTATATAAATATATATATCTGTGTGTGTGTGTCTTTGCCTGACTCATTGGTTGTTGCCTTTGGTGTAAGTCTCTCGGGTCGGAGGTTCAATCCCTGCGTAGGATCGAATTGCACACCTGTCTGGAAGGGGGTCCGCCCCTCGGTCACTTTGTAAATGATCAGCGATCAACCTTTTAAAGTAAAATAAAATTATATATATATATATATATATATATATATTATGGAAGCCCTGGGACAGATTATATTAGAATAAAAAAGGATACAAAGAAGTTGTATGAGAGGGCCCAATAGATGATACCCTACTCATATGATACATAATACAAAGATATCCCAACAAAAAGATGCAAAAGACAAAAAAAAAAAAAACATCCAAAAATAAGTGTCTATGGACGAGGCAATTTAGACATGCCTCTTCCTCTGATTCTTAGAGCAGATCCAGATAGCAAACTCTGAAGTGTTGTTTCATTGCCAACACTTCAGAGTTTCTATGGACGATGCCCTACTCATATGATACATGATACAAAGATATCCCAACAAAAAAAAAAAAAAAAAACATCCAAAAATAAGTGTCTATGGACGAGGCAATTTAGACATGCCTCTTCCTCTGATTCTTAGAGCAGATCCAGATAGCAAACTCTGAAGTGTTGTTTCATTGCCAACACTTCAGAGTTTCTATGGACGATGTCCTACTCATATGATACATGATACAAAGATATCCCAACAAAAAGACTAAAAAAAAACATGCAAAAACAAGTGTCTATGGACGAGGCAATTTAGACATGCCTCTTCCTCTGATTCTTAGAGCAGATCCAGATAGCAAACTCTGAAGTGTTGTTTCATTGCCAACACTTCAGAGTTTCTATGGACGATGCCCTACTCATATGATACATGATACAAAGATATCCCAACAAAAAAACTAAAAAAAAAACATGCAAAAACAAGTGTCTATGGACGAGGCAATTTAGACATGCTCTTCCTCTGGTTCTTGGAGCGGATCCAGATAACAAACTCTGAAGGGTTGTTCCATTGTCAAAAGTGACCAAGGTATCATCCATTAAGTTTCCAAGCTGAACAGTGTCCCCAGCCTTCTTCCTCTGCCGAGAAGTATAAACTTGTCATTCTTCTTCTGAAGACTGTTAAGTCTAATATGTACAAGGAAAGACAGTTGCAGCGATGAGTTCCTGAGTTTGTGTAGGACAGTCTTCCAAAACTTGGGAAACATCTGCCTTCTCAACAGGTAGTTCTACCAACTGATTAATTGCAGTAAGATGATTTTTTTTTCTCTAAATCTTCCTCATTAGTATTAGGAGACACATTTCCCGTCATCTGAATGTGAATGTTCGTTTCATCCCTATCTTCAATCACCTCATAGAGGGGAGCATGAGCACCCTCCACGGTAGGTAGAGCCTGAGAGGGTAGTATGCCCACTCTAGTAGAAAAAGGGGTAGTGACCGCGTCCTGTCTTCCAAGGGCAACCACCTGACTCTCCTCCAACAAACGACACTTATCAACATTTTCCGAAACAATATCAGTAGACAAACCATTTTGCATCGTATCCACCATGGGCACAGCAATACGTATCACAGGGGAGGAAGGGGATACACCCACCACAGAAGAAACAAGAGGTGGGGCTACAGCAGACCGAAGATGGGGATGCAACCGATAACAGGATGAAGAGCTCTGACCAAACATTCCACAGTGAGAGAGTATTGGGGATGAGGTCACATCACAATCTTCTGCCAATAACCCTGATGAGAGGAGCCAATCCAAATCTCCCCTGGAAAGGGTTGACTGGTGTCGCGCTCTACAAGCACACAAGCTTCAGATAGTCTGGTTGTATCAAGCGTGGGAGTATCGGTAGTTGCCAATTTATAAAGGGTTATATAATTGAAGAGATGCACATCGAGCCCTACAAAATTAACCCAAGTCAGGATAATAGGAGATTCCAATTTAAGATCAAAATCCACTGTCCATTTCAGAATAAAATCCAAAATCCACTGTTTATTTCAAAATTTTCATAAAGCGATTATTGATTTTGAGAACTTTTTGAACAAAGAGTTGGGTATAATCTGCGTCATTTGAGAGTTGAATAAGAACGTGACGGCCATATAACGAACCAACTTTCCAACTCCCTGTGAGCTTAAGAGAATCAAAATGCTTTCTAATAATCTCAAGCTTGGGATTTCCATACGGAAATTTCCCAACAAGAGTATATCTATATGCTGAAGTTAATATACTTGTTTCTTCATCATTGAGAAACAAAGCGGGTTTGTCATTTTTTCTTCCCAGGATTTTAATAAAGGTATAACCACCTCCAGATTCATGTGCATCATGAAATTCTTGAGGGAAGAAACAGGAACGACGGCCTACTCCGGGAGTAGAACCTCCGGAGACAGCCGCCACATAACTCGGGGTCATTCCCCCATGCCGGAACCAGAAACAAGGAATGCAAATCTCGAAAGCAGACGAAAAAGACCACAGACTGCGACTGGGGAAGAAGGCTGCGATCAGAAAATCGTAGCGTAGGTAGCAAACGAGGACGCAGTTTGCAACTGGGGACAAAGGCTCGGCCGACGCACTCGAACGCAGACGACGACGGAGAACGACGCAGTCTGCGAAGCGACCAATGACGTGCGAGTCTGCGTTCGAAGCCTACGGAACAGTAGCACGGCGAGGAAGATGGAGTGAAAGCCAGAGACTAACGCTAGGTTTCGCCCGATGGCAAAACCCTAGCAGAGGAATTCATTCCCGTTTATAGGTATATATATATATATATATATGATTAACATGAATATATTATGTACAAATATATGAATTTAGCAAAAAAGGTTGAGTTTTAAGAATTAAAGTAGAAAAAATAGATTAAAATTAATATTAGTGATTATATCACTACTTTAATATAATAATATCCATTATTTTGAATCAAATGTGTTGACCTACTATTCCATTTTCTATACATTTGTTAATGTTCTTATTAGTACAAAATTGCTATTAAAGTTTCTAAATAATCTTCTTTTTTTCATGTACAAAATCCTCATATTATTATGAAGGTTACCTCGTATTAGTTGTATATAGAAGTTCCTATTTGAAGTAAATAAATGATAATAAAAATGTAAAAAATATAGTTTACTGGAATGAATGCAAGTGTATGTGTTCCTATTTGAAGTAAATAAATGATAATAAAAATGCAAAAAATATAGTTTACTGGAATGAATGCAAGTGAAATGTGAAATTCACCTTTTTATGATACCGACTAGAAAAGCCTACACTCACTTGTAAATGATAGTAGACTCCTAGATTTTAAAAAGAATATTGACATTGATGCACTTTCTGTGATACAAATTAGAAAATATTCATAAGCCTGTTGCATTATAAAATGAGATCAGATATAATATGTTTTCTCCAATTCACGTTCTTCTTATAAATGAGAATGTTCCTTTTTTTTCACATTTTAATCCTTTTAAAAAAGAAAATGTTTTCTCATTTTATATTGATTTATTTATGAGAACTAGCATATATGTTTCTCAATTTTGTGTTACTGTAATTTAAAACTATAGTATGTAGACTAATTAATGTTTATAACTCATAATTATATAATAAATTTTTACACGACAGTCTTGAGAACTAAATGAGTGAGATGAGAAATTGTGCATTGCCGATGTAAAGCTACTAGTGAAAGGTTTTTACGCTATAAGGATATTGTACAAACAATAATAAATTTGTTGTTATTAATTGAAGGGAATGAACTTCATGATTTTTTTATCTTCTGATCAATGGAAGTTGCTTTTATAAGAAATTTTATGAATAATTGTTTTGATATGATTTAAAATGAGTTGAAGGTCTAAATTTTATCTATTTGTTATCGCTTGATAATCCAAGCTTTCACGCCAAATTGTGTCAATAGAAGTTACATGTGAAAAACTTGCATAGATGATGGTGCATTCATAATATTCTTTTTTATCCCCCCCCCCGACACACACACACACACAAAAAAACAAAAAATAGAGAATCTTCAATAGCAGCTTTCAATTAAAGAATAAACACAAAACGCAAAAAGGTTACACAGATTCTTAATATTCATTTAATTATAAGAACAACATAAACACACAAGTTGATAAGATTACCTCGGTACTGTGAATGCTAAAAACCAAATCCTCCCGTAAAAAATTAATATCCTTCAAACGTTGAACATATTTAGGTAAAAAGCCCTTATGGCTGCACATAGAGAGATTTAAAACAAATTAGTAAAACAGAGGAAAATGCCCCACAAAGCCACATTTCATAATAGAGGCAATTAATGAAAAAAATAGACAAACCAACATAATTTTCGTAATATGATGAAATAACTTGACTGGTTTGTTAAGCTTATAGGAGTTCACAAAACAGAAACAAGAAATGTAAAGCATCAAAATTTGTTAGCATATACAAAAATACTTCACCTTTCTCCATCAGGATGAGTAATTATAATATCCAGGTCACCACAAGATGCTTTCCCGCGTCTATACGATCCTCCACAAATAACCACCACCTGAGAAGTAAAAAGCTGAGCTCTTTTCATGTCTATACATATGGAAGTTTTGTGTTCCCCTAGAAGGAATCATGAAGTCGAATCGGTTTGTATCTCCATGTCCATATTAATGTTTAGCAAATCCGGCTTTGAATAATAATTTACACATTACAATTAGAATATTTTTTAGTCGATCATAATTACCAAATGATGGTCAATAACACGAACCATTAAACATCAAAAGCTAAGATCATTTCCCTATGCCTTCTAGTTTTTTGTAAATACAGATGTGTACTCCAAATTATGAAAGATGATGATACGAACCGGAGAATTGTTCCGTTTTATCCCAAAATGTGTACAAAATTATACAACCTAGAAAATTTTCTAATAAAAAATATACAAAATCAGAGACTGAAAATCTGGAATAGATATAACTATAGAATATTTACAATGGTAAATTCAACGTTGAAATTAAATGATTTATTCAGATTTTTCCATAAGGTCTGCTACATAACTACCATTGATCTATAAGGAAGTAGCAGGCGCCTCACAGATCCGTAAATCGGCGGCAGAGAGGGCTGAGCAAGAGCATGAATCAAGGAGCATTTCCACACATAATAATGTGAAAAAAAAAAAACATGAAAATGAAATTTTTCATAGCTCTGCAGAATAAATGCTTTAAAATGCCCCTCAATGCGGTTAAACCAGCTACTAAGCTTATTCAGAAAAAGAGAAAAATGACAGATAAACAGAGCATTATTAAAATCCATGAAGCTCAATAGGCATAATCTGATGGGTACGAATACTGTTAAAGTGGCTAGTGGAGCTGATGATAATGAAACTAAATGAAAATATCAAATACTTGTTGACCAAACACTAAATATATTGGCCTGCTTGCCAGCTATTGATTTCATGAGATTTCTCACACAATTTACTGATTTATTGTATAAGACTGAGCTTAACAAATATAGTGAATAATCTAAGGCTTTCTACATAATGATAGGGATGAATGCCGGAGCATGCTTTATCTTTTAAAAAAAAGGCTTCAAGTATTGTTACATGAAAAGCATTATTTAAATAAGTTTTAATATTAGCGTGCAATTCATATATTATAAAAAGCTCCTAATGACTAGTTTTTGCTAGGTAATCCAATGTGATACAAACATATATATATATATATATATATGAAAAAGCCCAAGCGCTAATATATTAAAGCAAAAAAGATACAGAAAGGTTGTATGAAAGGGCCTAAAAGAAAAACCAACTCACACAATACAACACACACAAATCTCAAATAAAACAAAGATACATAAAGGTAAAAAACCAAAAAACCACCAACAAACGCAAAAGTGCTACGGACGTCCCACTTTAGTTCTCCCTCTGCCTCTAGTTCTTGGAAGGGAGCCGGCTAACAAATTGGTAAGGTGTGTACCATTACCCGTAGTAACCAAAGTATCATCCACCAGATTCTTGAGCTCAAGTAGGTCTTCATTTTTCTTCTTCCTCTTGAATGTGTAGACCTGTCATTCCTCATTCGAAAGATTGACTCATCTAATCAATAGATTGATCTAAAGGAGGTCGGACAGGTGTAGGTTGTTGCACATCATGATCCCCATGAACCTAAGTAACATTAACATCTTGCTTGACCTGATGAGGCGGTATTAAAGCAAGCAGTAGAAGTATTGCCACCTGTAAAATCGGTGATAGGTTCTAGGGCAGGTGGGGTCTGAAGAATCTCCTTCGCTTCGACGATAGGAGGTTCCAGGGGGATCGTCAATAGTGTCAATAACTTAGTGTAAAAAATGTGTATTTCATCTAAAAGTCCAATTTTCCACTCTCCAACAAAGTGCATAAGCTCAAATTCCTTACGAATAAGGTCCATTTTGGGATGGTCATACAAAAAATTTCCCGACCAAATTCAGAAGAGAGGATGAAGCAAGTTTAATACCATCAGCTTTTGTAAAAAAGATGGCAGACTTCCCATTCTTCTTACCAGGTTTCTTGATGTCCTCCGCCCACTCAAACGAAGGAGGGAAAGAACACGATTTAGATGTACCTGAGGCATGGACACCCACAACGGCAGCAACATACGACCTATCTGAAGCCATCCCCAATAGATGGAGGTGTGGCGTTAAGAACAGTGAAGAAAGCAGTTCTGATAAGCACGCGAAAAACTCGGCGGAGAAAACTCAGTAAGACAGAAAGACAAGCCGCAGAGACGGGAAAACTCACGAGCCGGGAAAACTCGCGAGATGGGAAGACGAGTCGCGACAGGAAGACGAAACAGAATCAGGCGTGAAATTATGTATGTATGTATGTGTATGTATGTATGTATGTATGTATGTATGTATGTATGTATGTATGTATGTATGTATGTATGTATGTATGTATGTATGTATGTATGTATGTGTGTATGTTTGTATATGTGTCTGTGTGTGTGTGTGTGTGTGTGTGTGTGTGTTCAAAATCTTAGACGGCAAATATTGCATGGCGTCGACGGCGCCAAAGTCGGTGCTGGGCAAAATTCTTGAAGATTTGATGAATTTGGACATTTTTTGAAGAGTTATTGGAGGCACCTCTTAGAAAACTGACATTATGCTTTATTTAGAGCAAATATTGATCAGAAAAAGTGGTGGTTAGAGAGGGCTAGTGTGTAATTGAGTTTACTTGAGTGTTCTATTATCTAGTGTGGTGAGTCTAAGAGTGATTTCTCTTAGGAGTTGTTAGAGAGAGATGAGTGAGATATTTCTTTTTCCTTACATCTTTAAAGAGAAAGTCAAGAGTGTTGTAAAGAGAGAAAGAGTCCAAGAGAGACTACAAGGGATTTGCATAGAGGAAGAATTACAAATAAGTGATGTTTATTTATTATTGTTTTATAAATTTTCTTTTAATTATGAAATTCATATTTTGTCGTATCTTCCTCATGAGGTCTGAGTAGTTTTCTTTGTCTTTCTCCCTACTTTGAGATATGGTAAAATGAAGAGATAATTTGGATGTGTCAATTTTAAAATTTAAAATAAATTGTGATGATTTTTCCACTGTGTTCTTAATTAACTTTTCGATCTGGCCAATTGAAATGTTAAAATCTGCTGTGAAACATATGATCCAGGAAATGGAGTATGAGTTCTACAATAAAGTGAGAATCATATTCAATTATATGAAGGAGTGTTCGTTCATAGAATTGGATGCAAATAAATAGGGATATATATATATATATATATATATATCTATTTGCCATTATGGTCAGCTAAAGAATTTTCATATTCCGTGCTATCTGAATTTAAAGTAAAGGGTAGCAACAATTCATCATCATGGTATTCTTCTGTAGTGGATAAAAAGCATTAAAATTTTGGGAAAGTTTCATCCAGACAACACATTTCTTATGTGTTTACATATCAAAAACCTAAAGTTTAATATTTACACTTGTCCTTTTGTTTAAGATGAAGGCAGGGATGCAACAAGCAAATCTCATCTTTTTTAATAGGATTTCCAACGAGGAGGTATATAATTCATCGATATGGTTTCTTCGAGTTCATATCATTTCATTAAAACAAACATGTATAGATGTACAATCCGAGCAGCAGATTTTGTGTTTTAGTTCCTTTTTAATAGCAAAAAAGAGAAATCAACTACAAATGATTATATGCAATAACTGCAATCATATAATGAATTTACAATTTAAATCTAAAAGATACTAAATTAACAGAGAAATAACTCAAATAGAACATTCATGCAAAATTTGGAGGAAGCATCTTGAGAATAAAAATTCTTGGGCTAATTTACTATTTTAAATTTATAAGCTTATGTTGGGCATATTAACTGTATGTGTCTTGGCGGGCGAAAGGCCGGTTGGCATAGGTTTATTGATCTGGCTAATTATTCAATATAGCACTATCACAGTATGAGTTGAATGGGTTGAGATCAGTACTGGAAAGAATAAAATAACCAAAAAAGAAATATGTAATAAAAGAAAAACTAAAATGTAAGTGCATAAAAAATTTCAAAGAGATTGGCACCAGCTGGCATAATAAATGGTTGAACCGCTTATTAGACCATGGTTAGGATTTTTCCCAAAAGCCATCCAAGCTTTCAAAAAACTTTGAATTATTTTTTTTTAAATCTTTGAATAGTTGCCTAGGCCAAGAAAAAAAAGGTAAGAAACCCACAAAATCCATGTTCCATCTTCTAAATCTCAAGAGGATAAATAATGAATCTAAAGAGCAAATGCAAATAATAGAACAAACACCGAATGGTGAGATAGATTTATGCATATCTTCTCCTCTTCCAATAAATCAAGACTTTGATCTCCCCAATAAATGCTTGAAGCTACTGTTGGATTCAAATTTATTTGAAGTAGTTCCCTGTTGACCTCATTTTTAGTGAGGTCTAATTTTCTTCTAAGGGTTTAGGGTCTAGCCTTAAAATTCTCCCTTTAACAATCTTAGAGCCTTAGAAATGGGACCCACCTCATTTTAGAAGTCCAAACTACTTCTTTACCCTTTTGGAGTTCCGCATGTGTGGTTGTTGACCTCTAGCACTTAAGAGGTTTAAACTAATATGAGGAAACTCAAAATGAATTTATATAGGACCATTAAGCCCTAGGATTGCCTTATGCACAATTTGCACATTCGCGCGCACAAACTTTGCAATTCGGACGATCGACATGTTAAATATTGCAATTCACATCACCTACGCTTTTATATATTTGATAGTTAATCGAAACTTACATAAAATTTTGAAACCGTCGATCGCGAGCCCGAAATTTGAAGAAAACCTAATTTTACATGTTTTTGACCCAATCGTCGAGGAGGTTGTCTGAACGACCTCGGATGACGAAACGGACCGCGCCGGCGCGTCCGGAACACTGATTTTAGCTAGGAAGGACACCCACTTTGTTGTAGTTTCGTGCACAAGCAAATAGCGAGCAAATTAAGGGATTTTCAATATTAATTAATTTTTAAAAAAAGAAATTCTTTTTCACTTAAATCTCCAAATCCCTAATTCGCGTAAAACGGTCCGCCACTCCCCTCTTCCTCCTGTTCGCGAACCCATCCGAGGCCGAGCCCTTTCCCGTTCGCGAAACC